GGAGGTAAATTTTCTTAGCTCATTCAGTCGGCGGGGAATTTTCTAGGTCGCGCTGGAAACACAGATTCAAAATCGTGCCTGCTCGAAAAATTTGTTTTTTGTACTATTACTTTTCTCCATATTTGCAATGAAATAGAAAATATTTGTTGCACAATTCCTAATCAAATTTCTTGTTTTCTTAAACCTAGTAGCAATACCTATACTTTTATATATACACTAGTTGCAAAATGGAGCTGTTTACATTTTGTTTCTCATTGAATGATTTCTCTTTATTTGAAGTTTTCATTTTCCAAGTGTAAATAAAGAAATATGCTTAAATATATGAAACATTTGTTTATTTCATGCTCTGTCCAGGAGGGACACCTCATTGAATTTTCTAGTGGGTTACGGTAGCAGACCTGTTTTACCAATAAATCAACTCTTAACAACTCTCACAGGTATAACCATGGTATTTTAAGCTACTCAATCGTTAGCCACTAATTTTATTCTTACCTGGACGGCGGTTTGTCCCTTATATAATATTCAACATAATAAGATTAGTTTTTCTGCTTTTACATACGAAAGTAACGATTTCCTCACAGCTTAAGCGATATTAAAGTGATATTTTCTCTCTTAAGACGAAAATGAAAATGTTAAACTTGTGCATGATTTTCTTAAATAAAACACTAACTAAATTAGCATTAATTAACATTTAACATGTTTTATGCGTAGGTACCTAGCTAAAAATATTAAGAAACTTGTTTTTTTATACCGGGTGCCGGCTTTCAGTAGGTAAATGCAACATGCCCAGATTTAATTAACACTTCTTATTTTTTCCTCCTTTAAAATATACATTTTTAATTCGATAATGAAAAATCATTCACACTCGATAAAAAATAAGATACAGCCGTTATATTGTTCAATATTAATTTATGTTACCATTAATTATACATAATACATTTACTTTAAGAACAAATGCATATACGTGCGTGGAATGAACATATTATTTAAATAACGTTTGAAAATAAATATGACATACTGATTAGTATCTAGTACTAATTTGTATTCGATTTAAATATGTATATCTTATAGAAGCGTCGAATTTATTATATAAAATGTGAATAAAGAAAAATAAATTAAAGACTAACTTTCTGTGGCGCCAATATGATTGTAATAAAAATGTTATATTTTTTATTTGAATATTACTTACAATAAACAAAGAATAGCAAAAAATATAATATGAATTGGACATACAGATACATTGTGTAGAATCGCCCATCGCCCAGTCTATATTTTCTTTTGCGAATGTTCTTACTTTTTACGTTGTACTTTTACATTTTAAAATGTATTATTCCTAATTCTTTCTGCGTTTTTATTATATTTGATGTAAATATACGAATAAAAGTGTGACTTTACATGACCTGATTTCGCTCAACCAATCAAATTAATCATATGATCACCCGGTGAGGTGTTACCACACGTATAAAGAATTGTGCTAGTAGTTCAGTAGACATGTTTAGATTCATTTGTGGCGTAATAGTATAGCAGAGTGTTTTAACTACCTAAATATAATGTTATAAATAAATACCGAGGTAAGTAAATAAAATGGCTGTGTAAATTATATAAATTTCTAGGTGTATCTTCATTCATTTAAAATTATTGAAGAGTATAAGCATCAATAATAACCATATTGAACTTAGCCTAACCTTTACACACAGACAACAGGATTGTAGCTTACCATTTAAGTCTTATTTTACTTATTGTTTTACTTACATTATTTTGTTTTCAGTTTAATGTATTCAAGAAGTTGTCATTGCTCTCAAAATGATTCAAAGAATCCACCTCAAAATACACCTGGACACGAGGACTAGGACACAATTTTAATCCAGAAAAAGTCATCACATGAATGAAAACCACAGTAAAACTGTTCCCAGAAAATACATGAAGAATGTTTTTCCTTATACTTAATTACATATTTTAAACTAGAAGTCAATTTTGTAGAAGGAAATGTATCTCATTTATCTTAGATTGTTTATTTGATTAGACCTCATATTTAAAGAAGACTAAGATTAATTCAGGCTTTATACAGTTTTCGAGAGTATGAAAACGTATTTGGTAATTGATTTTTATATTGAAACATTGAAGGATAAAGACGCCACTAAAAAAAAGGTGTGTAAATGAAATATGTATATACAGTGTAGGAAAGTACCGATGGTCTATCAGAAGTTACGTGAGAGCGATAAAGTAAGCCATAGAAATCCATGTGATAGACAAGGATGGCTATAATGAAGGCGTCTAATAGTCAACGCCCATTTCGCCCTTCCACAAATAAGAAGTGGATTTTATTTGTGGAAGGGCGAAACGGGCGATGACTATGAGAGGCCGTCATTATAGCCATCCTTCTCTATCGGATGGATTTATATGGTTACTTTATCGCTCTCACGTAACTTCAGATAGACCATCGGTACTTTCCTACCCTGTACTTTGCCCTTTAAATAGGTAGCGAGGTTTTTTTACAGAGAGTGCGAGAGAGATTTTTTACAGAGATTTATATTTCTTACCGACTTAATTTATACCTGCTATACCAAGTTTTTCATTGTACTATTACTTTAAGAAAGCTATTTAATTTATTGGTTTAAATAATATTCTGTATTATTTATCTTTAGATATAATTCAAAAATTTATATTTTAGATACTCTAGACTAGAGAAATGCGTCATTTACTGCATTAACAAAATTAATTATTATTAATTTATTTAATGTTATTTTCCCTTCACTTAGGTACGTCGTAACTTATCTTGGAAAAAGTATGTAAAATATACATTATTTCTAAAGATATTACAAATAATTTTTTTTCTTCTTAAAAATACTATGTGTCTACCTGGTTCTTGTGTTACTTACAATTAGTGAAATTGTACTTTAGGTGTAATAAATATACATACATCGATGATATAAATTTACATTTTGGGTGAATTACAAAAAAATGTAAAATTGCATGCTTAATGTAACTTTACTCGTATGACGTAATTTTGCATTACCCACTGTGGCGTCAAAATGATCTACTGTATAATTTTATATAAAATTTTTATGAGACAATCTTTGTAAAAAAACAATAATTTTGAAGACACCTTTACTTTACTTATTTTGAGTTTTGAACGGCGTTACCTATTTGTGCAATAGATATAATTTAATGCTACTTGAAGTATTGTTTGTAATTATTTACTTCTTGCATTTGTTGTACTGTTTTCATTGAATTAGGTATTCTGGTACACTGAAAAGAAACATTTTAAATATTTTGGTATATTTCTAATTAAGTAAAACTAAATTTATAAAATCATCACCTTCACTGATACTTATGATTTACTTAAAAATATAAACAGGCTGTTACAAATTCGCTTCTCACTGCAGGAATCTCAGAAATGGAAATCCGATTTTGTTTCATTTCAGCCTTGTTTGAGGTGATATTCAAAAAAGAAAGAACACTTTCTCGTGGCAACTTGTTGCCCTCTATCGAACGGGATAATCATTTTTTATATATAACATTTCGTCTTTCCAGGACATCACCAACTTCATTTTTAAATACGTCCCTGGAAATTTTATTACATTTTTTGCAAGCCTTCATGACCCCCAATACTGTACTGCCTCAGCCCGAAGCAGATTCAGACGTTTTGTCTCGAAAAAATTCATCTTGTATTCGTTCTAATTTATCTAAATTTTTTATTTGTTTATGAATTATCATACACTTTAAGTGTCGTTAAACTCTGTGAAATCCATATAGTTATTTAAACTAATACCATCACCTGTCCATACATAATTCGAAAAGTTGTTGCGTCAAAATTAAAACATTATTACAATTTTAATTTTATTATAACAAATTAATTGTTAAAAATGCATATCGCCCACCAAAACTCTAAATAAATATTATACTTTAAAAAATTACAGTAAATGTTCAAGAACATTTATGTTTTGGCAAGTGTTGAAAATGAACATTTTCGAAATTTATTAGGTATACCTGTAACCGCAACTGTAAAAGAGCATGTCAGATGTATTTGTATGAATATCCTGAAAAAAATTAGATCGGAATTTGTTTGAATCCTGAGCAGTAGAGAAACCCAGAAATAAACAATAAATAAAACTCTAATAATGTTTTACTGAAACGCGTGATGGTAATAGTTTAAATAACTAGGTAGATTTCACAGGGCTTTGACTATAGTCAAGGCACAGGGTCTACGACACTCATAGTGTACGATAAATAAATAAATATAGAAATCTAAATAAAAAAAAAAAGATAAATTTGGAACATGAGCATGGACATTGAAGATGAATTTTTCGAGACAAAACGTCTGAATCTGGTTCGGGCTGAGGTAGTACAGTATTGGGGGGTCACGAAGGAAAGCTTGCAAAAAATGTAATAAAATTTCCAGGGTCGTATTTGAGAAAATGAAGTTGATGATGGTCCTGGAAAGACGAAATGTTATACAATATAAAAATTGATTATGCCATTCGATAGAGGGCAAAAAGTGTTCTTCTTTTTTCAATATCACCTGAACCAAGGCTGAATTGAAACAAAAACGAATTTCAAATATCTATTTCGAAAACTCGCCTTGATTTTTTAGATGCATAATGTTGGTCTCCTGATTACGCAATTTTGCCCGAATTTGTAACAGCCTGTATATATTTCTAGTGTTGCAGACGTACCCAATTAAATACCTTTTCGAAACAATCTGATTTACAGAGAAAAATGAATTTAAAATGTCTAGGTTGCTGTGAAATAAAATAAAATCCAACTTATACAACACTAATAGACACAAATATTGTTTCTATTGCAAGCTTAATAAATAAAGACGCTAAAATATGAATGCAATTACTGTTCTCAAACCTTGGTGATTACCCCTGCCCAAATGTTGTAAATATATGCTGCGGTATTTTCCAGAATTTAATCTGTATTGTTATTAAATAAGTTGATACTTAAAACTATCATTACTTTGTGGTGTTGGGTGCAAAAGAATCCTGAACCGGTCGCCTTGAAAACCGTAAGAAGCAATTTAAATATCTACATTTAGTACGCTTCACTGTATTAAAACATATCTCGCTGCGTACTCCGGACACTTTCTATTTCCTTGGCATAGTCTTCAGAGACAGCGTTCAATTCTTGTTTACATATCACTGCAGCCTCCGTAGCAACTTGTGTAGTTCTTCTTGGTGTGTCTTCGAAAAAACATGTTGAAGATAACTCTTTTGGCCGTCTATTTGGCGATTGTATACGCCGAGGTAAGTTTTTAAAAAATTGTATGGTTTATAAATTATAATTAATTAATGTAGATAATTTTTGCATTGTTTTGAATAAATGTGTCCAACTCAGTCCTTCCATGAATATTCGGCACTTCTTTAAAATTACTTTCATAAGAAATAAAATTAAATTATTGAATAAAAAAAAAAAATTGTCATTACAAGCTACATTAATATATCGAGCAAACTTTTGTGATAAATACAGTTTATATTATAAATGTACATAAAATAAAAATTCAAAAAACATCAACCATTTTTTTTTTGTTTTGGACACTAGTATACCTACTGTATTTTTTTATATGATGCTAACTTTGTCATGAATGCTTAAAAACTTTATATTTTTTCATTGACTAAAAACTATAATTTTGACGTAAGTACCTATCGTACAAACTATATGCTTAGGTAATTAAAATAATTGGCCAAATTCAATGTTATTGTACAGGTGGTTGATTTTCGATAGTTAGGGTATAGCCAAAACGGTGGTAGATACAAAAATCTGATATCGATGTCCCGTCCTCTTCTTTTGAGTTTACTTCGCTGGTACCAAAAGATCTTGGCTAAGTTGATTAGTTTTAGATGAACAGGGTTTTTTTTAAACATCGCCCATTTACATTAACCTCTCTATCTCCGTTGACATTCAATTTAGAAGAAAAAAGTATGAACATTATTCGTTCTATTTTTTATATGACTGAAAAGGTAAAAAAAATTGCTATTCAACGGGATGGCCAAATACAGGGTGTTCTATTTAAAAAAACCTAGGTTTATGTAATATCGGAAAAACCGTTCGATTTGTAAAAAATCTGATTAAGCCAATGGCTTCCACATTATAAATAAGAAAAAAGTTCATATAAACATATGAAAAAGTAATCCCTTCGTTATTAAGATAGAGTGTTAAAAGTAAAGTATGTTTTTTTAAATTACAAAAAAATTACTAAAGCGATTTCATTCAAACTTGACATATTTTTAATTTTTTGCAAACCAATGTACATTGTTTAGATAGGTAATGGAATATCACGAGTCAACATTTATGACATAATTGACATAATTACATAATCTATCCATGAAATAAAATACTATCTAGATAACTACACTGGGTTGTTTTTTTTTCAATTTGGAAAAAGTAGAAAATTGAGCATTCGTGGACACATGCAAGTTTATAAGAACTTTATTTTTAATTTGTAACACAGAATCCGCTGATAATGAGTGAACCAACATTTTAGATACGCCTTGTATATAAATTCAAGGTATACAGAGTGTCATAAATAAATGCTAAAATTTTAACCACGTATTTAACTTATCAAAAGTAACAACTCACATTTTTGTCCAGAATTTTGTACCCAACAAAATAACGCTAACGAGCTGCCCATGGATTAAAAGCATGTCTAAGTAACGTATGCAAATGTTTTATGGAATGATCTTATAATTTTTTGTTATCTTAAACTCTAAATACTGGAACTAATTATTCGTAGAGCTGTCATAATTGGCCGCGCACTAAAGGCGTGCGGATCATCAAGGTAAAATAAAGTGAACAATGATTATAAGATTTATGTCATTTTATCATTGTGAAACACGTAAATTATTGTAGCATTGCCATCGGTTCCAGAATCTGGATCGGATCCGTTATAGATCGCATCATCAGGTATGTTTCTACACCTTGTTTCAGCGAAACTTATTCGCGGCGGTGATAAAATATCTTAATCAGAAGAGAATGACCGTTCGACATCTACTAATGTAATATTTGCATAATTAAATAATCTACTTCCAAGCTGGTCCGACATGACATGGTAATTTCCACTCGGGGTTGTATTTATTCCAGTAGGAATGAAATGTTTTATTATTTACTATATCAAATGGTACGTCAATCAGTATGAAGATTAAATCAAGCATAAATTGAGTCTTTTGGTTTTCGCCATTTTTTTTATACGTGTGTTGTGCATTGTTTAATAGGTACTTATTTCTTTATTACTGAATTACATTATTGTTATATTTTTTTAGTAAAAGAAGGTATTGTTCGTTATTTAACTTTCCCTAAGACCACATGCACTTAAAATAACACGTGTTGAGGGCCACTTTGTTGGACAAATTTACTACTGATAAAGCTGTGATGCTGACTTGAGGTATATAATTTATCACTCCTTGCTCTTTTATTAATTTTATAAAAAAAAAAAATAAAAAATCAAACATTTAAACAAAGAGAGCAGCTTAAATAGATATTTTTAGAACTCATTATTTTACTTTCACAAAATTATTTTCTATTCCAAAAAATATATCTCTGTTTCGTTTTCCACCTGAATAGTTTTTATGTTAATAATTTTATAGCTACTTACTGGTAAATTTATTTGTTTTATTCAGTACAGTATGAACTATTTGCTGTTTTTTGCACTTCTACGCTCGACATAATTACACACAATAATTATGCATTCGTAATTGATTACAATTTGACACTTATTCCTGGGGCACCCTGTAATTTTCGTTCTTCATTTTTTTCTTTGAAAATTCATATTTGTTTACTATAATTTTATTACAGTATAAAAACTAAAATAACTTTAAAACCGTTTTACATTTTTTTTGTACCCTAAATAAAACTTAGTCATAATCATTTTTATTTTTTCATCTTCACCGTAAACTTGACTGTCTTCAAGCGTTTTAGTTACAGATAATTAATGCAATGAAGTCACTCCACCGACATTGAAATTTGTTTTAACCTCAATTTAATCCTTTCACAGAAACAAGCGGCGGTATATCTTTTCGATCCTTCTGGTGTCAGTGGCGTATCAGGCAATGTCACATTCAAAAAAACAGATAATGGTATCGTTGTTTCTGGCACAGTGACCGGATTGGCTGAAGGAAAACATGGATTTCATGTTCACTCCTTGGGACATATCTCACCTGGTTGCGGTGGAACTGGTGGCCATTTTAATCCTCACAATGTAAGTTTTATTATACATTTAGATATATTTTGTCTATTGACTTATTGAATTTATTCATAGACTTTTGTTGTCATTGATTTTAAATAATTAATTAATTATAGATATTAAATTGGTAGGTACTATCGACAATCATAACCAATAAATAAATATTTATATACCTAACTTTATTTAGGTACTCTTCGGAGTTCTTCATTTTGATTTTAATTTTGATTTCACCATTTTTATAGGTATGTCCTTTTTTTAAAGTAACATGAATAAAAATTACTAAAAAGGACATAATGTATAAAATCTTACTCAGGGAACAATTTACAATGGAACGCAATGACGTCAAAATATGTCATGAGTACAAGGTGCCTAAATGAAAATCGAATTTTGGCAATGTTTTGAAAACAATTTCATTAATTGAGCTAAAAATATTAATAGATATCTATGTTTAGGACAAGAATTTAAAAAATTGTAGTGTACAACTTACTAGTGGAGCAAATACGTTCTTAACTTTTTTTACCCTTAAGATATGAAAAGTAAGTAATGGAAATTTGCATAATTTTGAGTATAACGATTACTAGTTGAGAATTAAAAAACTCTCGACAGTTTTAGAAATAAATCTGACTTTTTTGTTCACTTATTGTTTTAAATAAAATACAAATAAGGCAATTTAGGAACAAGAAGAATTCAAAGTTTATTATCAGGTGGAATAATAACATTCTAAAAACATTTATTTTATTATTGAAATACTTCTGTACCTACCTTTTAAATCAATTTTACCCTTGGTTCCTATTACAATTATTTAACACACATTTAAAAATAAATTATGCTATTTCACTGGATATGCAGTGAAGGTATTAACTTTTGGAGTAGTTGGCGTTGGTTAAGTTATTATTTGTAATTACTGAAGGCACTTTACAACAACCGCAGTATTTTTCTTGGACCATAATTAGTTGTTTTGATTAGAAAACCAGTATTTGGGATGGCGTTGGTCGATTTCCAAAATTCTTTTTTTTATGTGATAGTACTCAAAAAGGCCTACTTTTTGATATTATATTTTTTGACATGTGATCTTTTGTACGGCCTACTATCATTAACAAAAATGAGTTTCACAACGAAATAATATTTAAATATTACCGTTTTCTATTAGCCCACCACCATTTTGTATGCACTGTTTAATTCGTCTCCTCTTATTTCTAATAACTCTCCTCAACTGATGTGGTGTTTTTTGTCGACATGCTTGTCTAATTCTATTACATAAATCTTAATTAAAAAAATTAATAAATGTGTTCTGTGGGATTTTATGTGATCGAATAATCGGGCCCTTCTTTTTTAACGTTAATCTACACGCAGAGATTTTTTTGAACTGTTTTAAATAATGATTTCTGGGATTCAATACATGCACTTCCTCTTCATGTAAGACAGAACCTCCACCTTCAACTAGATGGAGCACCTATTTATCATGCGGTAATACTAATAGTAAGTCATTGGTTGACCGAGAATTTCCCGAGAAAGTGGATAGGCCGCAACGCAACAGTCCGTTAGTTGAGTGGCCGTCAAGAGCTCCAGACTTGATGACTCTTGATTTCTTTTTATGGGGAACTTTGGAAAATAAAATGTATTAAACAAGACTCTAGAAGATTTATATAATAGAATTAGACAAGCATGTCGACAAATAACACCACATCAGTTGAGCAGAGTTATTAGAAATATGAGGAGACGAGGGGACCGCCTAGCCGGGTGTCTTGGCCGGCGGATTTCGATCTGCCGAGTCAAGTATCACGGACGCAGGCTGGAATTTGGATGGGTGACTAAGGCAGGCAGGCAGGCTCTGGGACGTGGCTGTGGCAGCGTACTAGAGACCTGAGTCGCCCAACATTTGCTGCATGCGTGTGGTCCCCGATAAATGGTATTAAGAACAGAGCAAAGAAAATATCTGTAACTCAAGACCATGCTATCATACATAAACTGTACGAGACTTTGCCACCAAGACACCCGTGTAGTAAATAGGATGGTTTGAAGAAAAGTACTCGAGTAATGAAGGAGGGTGTACAAGGGGCCTAATAAGGCCTAAGTGCCGCGGTGGAAAAACAATTCCACCACCCTCCAATATACATACATACATACATACATACATACATACATACATACATACAAGAGGAGACGAATTGAGCAGTGGACTAATAGACTAATATTTAAATTTCATTTTGTTATGAAAATGATTTCTGGTATAATAAAAAATATATATATATAATTTGGCTGTCTTATTGTGGGCACCCTATATGAGTGAAATCAATGAAATTGCATGGAAAAATTAATTAAATTTTGCATCTATTTATGAACATCCTGTAAAAGCTATAATAATGAAACTTTGTATTTAGGGTTTTGAGATGTGATCGAATCGAAAAAGCTATCCATTCAACTCTTAAAAAAATGCCTAATATGTTTTTTAATTTTTGAGTGTCTTTGCTTAATGAAAGTAGGCCGTAGAAAAGATCACGTCAGAAAATATAATATTAAAAAGTAGGTCTTTTTGAGTACTACCACATAAAAAAGAATTTTGAAAAGCGGCCAATGCCATCTTAAATATGGAGGTGTTCCGACTTTAAGTGAAACACACTGTATATATATTAGGTCCTCTTTAAGGATAATGAATGTTATTTAGTAATAATAGTTAATACATATATGGGTTAGGAAATGAATCACATTAGAACTTGACATATATATGCGCTTTGTTTTCCTTTTGAAGATTTTATATTAATCGTGACAAGTTCGAGAACAAACGACATTGTTAACACGGAATAATTTATTACTGAAATTTATTGCTCATAAAAAAATTGCAGGAATAAACTAATCAATTTCAATATACTGTATTGAAATAAGTTATGACTTATGAATACATAGTTAAAAAAATACCTAGTATAGCGTGCATATTTTGTTTTTAATATTGAAACTTTTTATACTATCTCCTTATACACGGTGAGTCATAATTAGGTATAAAAAATAATTTATCCGAAATTTTTTATGTATTCTCGCCAAGACAAAATAATTGGTTAATAAACCTTTGTTCCAAATGCGTCTTTAGAAAGATACGGTGTCTTGATTTTGTCTAGTACGGCGAAATTGAACTTAGTGTTTTTCAGACCACAAGTAACTCTAAGTGACTAAAGTTCACTATCGTCGTAGACATTCGGACACTCGTAAATCTCAGTATGACGTATCCAGGAGCTAGCCCGGACTTCCTAGTGCTACATACGCTCTTCAAAAAACACATCCGCGAGATTGTGATGAATATCTTTATCTTCTAACGGTTCTGCTGCAACTTCACCAAAAAATTATAACAATTACCCAAAGAAATCGTCAAGCATCAGGTTGTTTCAGAAAAAATAGAATAAAACGTTTTCTTGGATTCAATATAATACAAATTTAGGTAAAGTGTTTTTCATATATTATTGTCAGGCTTCTGTCAAGATAATAGCATTGAGCATCTCAATACTGTTCTTCAAAACAAATCATTGTTTTATCAAAACATCAATTAGTGTCTCAAATAAATTACTGTCATATTGAGTGGGATGAAGCTACTGAAAAACCTAAGAAATAATATATTGATGAATCAGCTATACCCAGAGTGAGTAGAATGCGTAGGCGTTATGGTGAGGGTGGTACTTCATACGATTTTCAAACGCCAGAAGATGTCTACAAATGTCCTATGAAATAATTGACTTCACCGTAAATTCAATAAATGATAGATTTAAAAGTGATAGAGATTATAGTTATTTGCTATAGAAGACACCAACGCTGGTGAGGTCCATCAAGATATGTTCTTAAAGGTGTTTAATTTATACGGCCTGGACTAAATATATCAGTGGTTTCGTGTATAACTGAGATATGATTTTCTACATTGAGATGGTTAAAAACAAACTTAAGATCTACTATGACAATAAAATTGCCAATAAATTTGTTAATACCAATGAAATTAGAAGGAATGTTTTTTATGTTGAAGACTAAGAAGAAAATTTAAATTTAATATACTCTGCCGAAATTCTAAATCCTTTTTAAATTATATAGGTAATTGCAAAAGTGCAATAACATTTAGTTACTTTTACTTTCGTTGTTTAATTTGTACTTTAATTAATTACAAATTTTAGTTTATACTTTATAAATATTCAAATTTATAATACATACTTTAGGTATTTATTAATGGATTTTATTTTTTGTGCATTGTGCGTTGCCGACAAGCATTCGTATTGGCGCAACACATCTAGCATTCACTGACAGTAGGTACCTACGAGTAAATAGCTTGCTATGCATGGGTTTTTCCTCATCTTCATCGTCGAAAATCTAATTTAACGAAACGGTATTTGATTTAAAATATACCAAAGAAGGCAATAGCATTCTTAAATTCAAATGTGAAGTCACCATGCGAATTCTATTACCTTTATAAATATTTAATAACAGATAATCAGCGTTTTTTAACAGTTATTAACTTTCCTTCGCCTATCGTGCACAGTACTCGATTTCGAGAGATTTATTCGGTCTGGTGCAAGGCGACATGCAGTGTGCCGTTGTGCACTAATATCATTCATTTTGTACGCTTCATTTTATGTTTTATTATATAATTCTAGGTAAATCACGGATCTCCGCAAGATAAAATCCGTCATGTTGGGGATCTTGGAAATATAGTTGCCGATTCTACAGGTGTGGCAAACATTGACATTAAAGATAGCGTGATCGACCTAGAAGGCGAACACAACATTATTGGCCGTGCTGTAGTTGTGCATGCTGGTGAAGATGATTTGGGAAAAGGAGGGCATGATGATTCTCTTACAACAGGACATGCTGGAGGGAGATTGGCATGCGGAGTAATTGGACGTCTTTAAATGTAACACTACATAACAACAGCTATTTCATAATCTAATTAGTATTTACTAATAACTTCGAAAATAATGACTTTTATTTGAGATTAAATTAATTTTAAATAAATGTAATAAACTAAAATTTAGCATGTTTTATTATTAACTGTTTAAATAGGTAGGTACCTACCAAATATTTTCAGATACATTAAGTTATAATTATGTGGCAATAAAAAATCATGAGCAATATTGAGTATTGAAGAGATAAAGCATATTTATTGAATACGTCATAAATGTCGTTGCTACTTGTCTTAATATAGATGAGTTCATGTACAAGTTTACAAAAAGTAAGTAAAATGCAGAAATAGATAACAGTGGGGTTGATTAAATCTATAAAAACTAGGCATCACTTTCACAGGGTAACTCATGCAGGGTAACTTTGAATGGAGGTCATGAAAACTTAATCTTTTTAAACTTAAGTAATTTTCATACCCCGCCGCTGGACAAGTTAGTATGACCTCAAACAACGGCGCGCATTAATCGCAGTGCATGCACAATTGGGAACGGCTATGCATTGTTGTTAAATCTCATAATTTAATTCTCACATAAACGAGAATGTTATTCTTTTAAATAAGATAAACTATGAAACAATACTGTAATGTAACAATAAATTAGTTTGGTTTACAATTTAGTAAAAATTAGTAAATTATTTTTAATTATTATCAATCAATAGAATGTTTTTTTTTAAATGTTCGGCAATTCGACCACAGTCATATTAAAAAGATATCATGACTTTAAAGTAACACGTCCCTAAGTTATACAAAAGCAGTCTGTTTTATAAAATCATTTTCCGTTGTAACTCCAATTAATGTAGCTTGATTTAAAAATAACTGGCAACGCTGCACGAATAATATGCTAACACCGTGTGCTCCGGTTTACGCCACCCAGTGGCGGGGTATGCAAGAAGTAAAATACTGTTTTAAAGACCAATTTATAACACGACTACTTATTTGATTGAAAAAAAAAAAAGAATTTTAGATTCGTATTCAGGGGAACATATACTACTACCTCTAAAAAACTGACCTCCACTTAAAGTTACACCCTTTATAAAGATTGGGAAAAAATTTAAAATAACGTAAATCTTAATAAATTTAAAGAGTAGATCTTAAATAATGCGATAAAAAATGCAATCAAATTTTATTACAAAAACTTAATAAGAGTGAATGTAATAATAATAAACAAGAAACAAGTTTGGAATATATTTAAGGAAGTTATTTAAATATTCATCAAAAAGAAAAGAAATCGATCAAATTAAAAATGAGAATAATGAAATTATCTCCAATACTTGCAATTCATCGGAAAGAAACTAAAAAATTCATTTAGGTATCAGGCCAAAATATTAAAGAAAATAATAAATATGTAGCTAATTCTTTATTCTTCGGAGAAACTAATTAAGGTGAAATTAAAAATGTAGTAAATTGTCTTAAAAATAATGAAGTTCCATGGATGGATGGACTGAATAACATTCAATATCATTAAACAAATTTGTGATAACTCTGCAGAGCCTCTCTATTATTTAATTAATAAAATAATAAATTTTGGATATTTTCTAGACATACAAATGGTAGTTAGAAAATAAAACCATTACATAAGTCAGGTAAACGGTTACAATGCTTGAACCAGTGTCACTTATTACATCAGTTGTAAAAATTGTAGGAAAAATTATACATAATAGAGTTACTAAATTTTTAGACAAGGTCTAAATAGCGAGATCTTTATGGTATTTTTAATACGCAATTTGGCTTCGGAGAAGGAAAATCTACTCAGGATGGTCTTATTTATTTGATATGTAAACATCAGAAGTCATAGAAATAAAAGTTAAGGACTATAATCTCATAAAATCCTGTATGCCTGATCGCAAACAATGTGACAGTATATTGACAAATATTGGTATTTTAAATATTCTAAATTGAATAGAAAAAGTAAGAGTATGGTGTTTCTCAAGGAACAGTATATGTCATATGTCTCTAAAGGGTCTGTACGGCTCAAAATAAGTCAATTTAACTAAACTTGCCTTAATCCAAAAATTGATAATAACGAAGCTACAAGGTGTCAAGTTGAAAAAATATATAACATTTTCTTTAATATATTTCGACTACTTCGAGTGAATTTCATGAAATTTCGTATCCGGAGTTATTTTGAGATGAGAAATTCGAATTTATCGACGATTTCGTTGTATCTTCTAGATGGCGCCACAAGCGACTATTAGGACGCATTTAAGCTGCCAAAACTTTTTTGTGCCACGGTTTATTTCACGTTGGGCTAGAAAAATCTTTTCCCCCAACTTTTCTAAAGCCAACCGTTTTGAACAAAAAGACATTTAAATTTGTAAATGTTTTACTCGAAACTCAGGCTTTTTTTCGAAAAAGAAAAAGAGTGTAGTAATTTGTAGAAAATTGAAAGACGAATCCGAAAATATTATGATTGTTACCGCAAAGCAGTGGTGTACTATTTTATTTACAAAAATATGTCACCGATACCCTGTGTCTCAGATTTTGGACAATGTTTACTTAAATTAATGTGCCTAATTTAAAATTATTTCACTTACTAGTTTTTAAATTATTAAAAAAAAATAACATCCTTTATCTTTTTAACGAAGCGTCCTAGATAAAAAGTTTATACCAGACATTCGATTTTTTCCGTTATTTTTTGGGAAAATTCATGCAAGAACGATGGAATCAGGAGTCCTAACTGAATTTGGCCGTCCAAGGAGGCGTAGGCATTATTTAGACGAAGCAATTTTAGGGTTTTTTAACGTAATCCTACTGCGAGTGTAAGAAGAGCGTCTGCTCATGATGTTCATATTATTATATGTTGTAAAAAAATCGAATGAAATGCAAAGTCAAGCACAAAGATCAGAACTAAGAAAATAAAGAAACGTAAGAATTTAAATGATAGCACGCGAAATCATTACAACATTAGTATCATTACAATGAAACTGTCACCATGAAAGATGCCTACTATGTGAAAATCTTAAAAAAAAGTTACTGTTCTGAGCCATACATTATTTAAAGTAGGGACATTTTTTCTTCAAAAAAGTCTAATTCATTAAAAAATAATATTATTTGCTTGATAATTCAAAGGAATAAAAAAAATTCGAAAAATTTCTGCTAAGGGTAGTAAGAAAACTATCCTTATTTACAACCGATTTTGATGAATCTTATGACAGTTAAAGACCCTTATGGTATGATTATTACCTACAATTTTCTTTCCATTATCTTAATCAGAAAGAAAGTTATTTTAAAAATATCCAAATGATAAGACCACTTTGGAGGGCCATATCTCAGTAACGGTGCTCCGGAGGATCAATGTTTATAGGAACTTTTTTTACTATTTTTGGCTCTACTTTCACCTCATTAAATTTTGTACCAACTTTTCCAAACACCCTGTATTTACATAAGATGAACATGACCCTTCGGATTAAAAGATACACTTTAGTCCCTTGGTATACATCATTGGTTACAGAGGCGGACTGACTAGATGAACAGGCCCGGGAAACATTCATCAAGCGGCCCGTTTTTTGAAAGTTTCAGAATTTATTTTATTTTAAATAGGCTCTTCGTGAATGATTTATTTGAAATATTTGAAAAAAGTTTGCCATAGATAATTTGATATTGTTTTAAAAATAATTAATATCACAATTTGTTTGTAGATAAAAATTAAAATCTTAAATTAAAATAATTTAGATTTTTTTAAAATGGATAAGTAGTAGTTGGAAGGTATAAGAAGTTAAAGCATTATTATTTTTAATAAATAAATAATCATTAAAATATATATTTTGTATTAATCGAAAATATTGTGTTGTAGAGCTAAGTATAATAAAAAAATTTCAATTTAATATAAAAGGAGATTTTTTTTAAAGTGTACTTTTTAAAACTAATTCATTAATTACATCATCTAATGACAAATTATTTAAAACGTCTACATTTAATGCCATTAACATAAAAGTCTCTAGTTTTTCCTGAGTCAGCGAACTTCTCAAACCATTTTTTAAAAACTTCAAAGTGCTAAACGATCTCTCACAAGCTACTTGTGTAAACGATAGAGATAATACATATTTATATGCTACTAATACAAAGAGAAATACGTTTGTCAATAGATTGTATCTATTTAAAATCCTGTAACAACATATGATGCAGTTTTTACATGGCTCATGTTTCTTTTATTTTTTCCTTTATATTTCTGCTGAGTTTCATCAGTTTCATCTTCTGTGATTTTAGTCCAGACGGTATCTGTTTCAAAAAGCCATATTTGGGTGAATCGTATATCCACGGAGATTTTAGAAATAAAAATTTTTCTATGCGCATAAAAAAAACGTGGGCTTAACTTTTGGCGACATAATATGTTAAAAATATTCGAAAAATGTCATATTTTTTTCCTATTTAATTATGTATCGTTTCAAGTTGATTCTAGGCGAAAATAGAAGAGGAAAAAAATGTCTGTAATTAAATATTTTACAAAACATTACTAGTTACAAATCGGAATTTTTTTGGGGTATTTAAATTGGCTCAAGAAAACTACATGTCATGTAAAATCATCATACCAAATTTCATCAAAATCGGTTCTATAGATTTTGCATAATAATTTTGCAATCCAGATTTTGAAGAAAAAATTGCAAATTTTCAAAATTTTGCACAGCAAAAACCAAGGTCCTTAGATACTTGAAAATTTAATCACATATCGAAGGGCTCTCAAGCTTTCAAACTTTTTTTCGAATTCGTCAATTAGGAGAGCTCTGGCGCTTGTTTAAACATTGGTCGAATTTTTGTACTTATAAACAATTAGAATAACTTTGTGAATATTCAATCAAATCAAATTTTTTAAAGTAGGTTTTAAAAGTTATTGATTTTTTATAATTAATTTATTAATTTAATCATAATTTCTTTTGAGATTAAAGTATAATTCAAATATTATTTATTGTTTAAAATATCAGCAAATGAGAAATTAACTCATTATATTACTAATTTTCGTTATATTTTGAAAATAATTGTTGTTTAAACAATTTCAGAATATTTTTTTGATTTTTGATAAACAGTATATAAGTTTATGAACTTACCTTTGATACAATAGAAAAATAAAGTTGAC